CCTGTCTGGCACATCCTGCCACCTCCTCCAAACTCTCCAGCCCAGGATCAGGCTGCCCTTCTCCCAGCGTCTCTGATCCCTGTAGAACCAGTCATTTTGGCTACCCGGGTCTCTGTCTACTGCCCTCTTGGTCTGAGGCTCCTGTATTAGCTCCACTCTCCGTTCGCTGTCTTGATCAGAGCAGCTATGATACCCTACAAATACCCCTCCCTCTGCAAGATCTTTGTCCTGCTGAGGTTGCCCCATAGATGGTGTAGGGTCATTAGAGCCCTCCTCGTGAGAGTCCAGCAATTCACTCCCTCCTGTGCCATCCTTCCCCAGTAATCTTGCCCTGTGTCACAGGGACTCATGAGGTGCTAGAGTCCATAAGGCATGGGTGAGAGAGTCCACTTATGTGGCTCTGTGGAATTATCACGCATGTTGAGGGGACCCTTGATAGCGCTGTTGGGCATCACTTCATTAATGTTCCTTAAAGTGACCCTAATGATACAGGTGGTGGTGGCGCACACCTTAAATCCCAGCACTTTGGAGGCAGAGGCAGGCAGATCTCTGTGAGTTTGAAGCCATCCTGGTCACCAGAGCGAGTTCCAGGACAACCAGGGCTACACACAGAAGACCAAATAAATAAATAAATAAAACTCATTGACTTCTCAAGCTGGTTTCAAAGGACTGGTTAATATGGTGTGCTGTCGGCACCCTGAGGTGAAGAGGGGATTATTCACCTCCTCCCAAAGTTCACAAAGTGTGGTGGTTTCTTGTGTTTTTGAGGCAGGCTCTCATGTAACCCTGACTGGCTTTGAACTTGCTAAGTAGCCAAGGCTAGCCTGGAATGCTTTGTTGTTGATCATTTACTTTATGTGTGTTTGTGTGTGCTTGAGTTCCCATCTTTGCACCATGTGTTGTAGAATCTACAGAAGCCAGAAGAGGGTGTTGGACGCCTGGAACTGAAGGTACAGACTGCAGTGAGCAGCCGTGTGGGGGCTGGAAACCAAACATGGTCTCCTGAAGAGTAGACAATGCACTGAACCACTGAGTCATCTCTCCAGTTTGGGCGGGGGGGCCGCGAGGGAGGGGAGTACTGGAACTGGGAACGTGAACATGAGCAAATGTGCACACACGCACATACTATCTACATAGCTTAAGCACACCCACACCACACACATTATCTCATGCTGTCTAGGAGCTGGCCTGACAGAGCTGAGCTGATGGGCTCACAGTTTTGGTGTTCAGCCTAATACAAAATATTAGCACAAGACCATCATGCCAGGCAGTGGTGGCACACGCCATTAATCCCAGTACTTGGGAGACAGAGGCAGGCGGATTTCTGTGAGTTTGAAGTCAGCCTGGTCTACAAGAACTAGTTCCAGGATAGCTAGGGCTATTACACAGAGAAACCTTGACTCAAAAACAAAACAAAACAAACAAACAATAAACAAAAAAACACAAAAACAAAAAACCAAAACCCCCAAAAAACTCAAAACCCAACACCCTCTGTCATTCAATGACTGTGATGAAGACAAGGAATTTTTGTTGTTGTTGTTGTTTGTTGAGACAAGGGTTTCACTGTGTACCAGCCCTAACTGTCCTGGAACTAGGCATGTGCCACCGCCCGGTCTTCAGTCCATAACTGTAAGCACAAAACAAGGTCAGTGTACAGGGACAAAGAAACAAGCATCTGCTCCTGAGCTGGGACCGCTGCTCCACCACCCCCACAGCTCTAACCCTGTAGCCTGCCCTCCCTTTAGAGATGCCCAGCTGTAGGGTGATCCCTGCCTCCTTTTTGACAATCCCCAATCCAGATGGACACTCACTTCCTTAAATCCCCCAAATCAGATTTCTCCCCTTTTAAAATTAAGTGTGTGTGTTCACGCGCGCACATGCACATGCGGACACACAGTGTCTCTGTGTGGCGTGTGCGTGCGGAGTGCAGGTGTTTTCAGAGTCCAGATGTCAGACACCTCTGAGAGACGGGGTTACAGGTGGTTAAGAGCTGCCCAATGTGGGTTCTGGGAACCAAACGTAGGTCCTCTGCCAGAGCACCTTCTGCCTCTTTCTTCCAAGAGCGGGGACTGCAGGTTTGTGCCACCATGCCCCACCCCCATCTAAGTTCTATCACTTCATGTTGGGGCATCCTCCGATGCTCAATGGTGCATGTTCCCTTCCACTGCAGAGAACATTAGACCCAGTTTCAACTACATGTATATTACTGTGTCAAAACAAACATTTTTAAGTTTAACAAGATGTTTCTAAAATCTGTAAGTAATAGTTCCCCATTTAAAAAAAAATTGTATATGCTATGCTGGGCAGTGGTGGAGCACACCTTTAATCCCAGCACTTAGGGGGCAGGTGGATCTCTGTGATTTCAAGGCCTGTCTGGTCTACAGAGCAAGTTCCAGGACAGACTCCAAAGCTACAAAAAATAAATAAATAGATTGTATGTGCCAGATATGGGCACACACCTTTATTTAATCTTAGCATTCGGGAGGCAGAGGCAGTTGGATCTCTGAGTTTAAGGCCAGCCTGGTCTACAGAGGGAGACCCAGGACAGCCAGAACCACACAGGAAAAAATCCCTGTCTCAAGAAAAAGGGGTGGCTAGAATAATGCTCAGTGCTTAAGAGCACCAGCTGCTCTTCCAGAGATCCTCAGCTCAGTTCCCAGCAAGGACATGATAGCTCACAACTGTCTGTTCTTTTTCTGGCCTGCAGGCAAAACACTGGATACATAATAAATCTCTCTCTCTCTCTCTCTTTTTTTTTTTTTTTTTTGACAGTTTCTCTGTGTAGCTTTGAAGCCTGTCCTGGAACTAGCTCTTGTAGACCAGACTGGCCATGAACTCACAGAGATCCACCTTCCTCTGACTCCCGAGTACTGGGATTAAAGGCTTGGGTCACCAATGCCCTGCCATAATAAATCTTTTTTTAAAAAAAAGTGTGAGATGGGGCTGGAGACATGGCTCAGAGGTTAAGAGCACCGACTGCTCTTCCAGAGGTCCCAAGTTCAATTCCCAGCAACCACATGGTGGCTCACAGCCATCTATAATGAGATCTGGTGCCCTCTTCTGGCCTGCAAGCATACATGGAAGGAATGTTGTATACCTAATAAATAAATCTTAAAAAAAAAAAAAAGTGTGAGAGAATGTACAGGCTGCACAGGCCATGGTACATGTTTGGAGCTCAGAGCCCATTTATAAGAGTTGATTCTCTTCTTTCCCCTGCCCTCCCCCCCTTCCCCCCCAGACAAGGTTTCTCTGTGGCTTTGGAGCCTGTCCTGGAACCAGCTCTTGTAGACTAGGTTGGCCTTGAACTCAGAGGTTCACCTGCCTCTGCCTCCTGAATGCTGGGATTGAAGACATGTGCCATCACTGCCCGGCTTCTTGTTTTCTTTTCAAGAGATTCATTTATTTATTATATACAGTGTTCTGCCTACATGCATGCCTGCATGACAAAGAGGACACTAGATCTCTTTATGGATGGCTGTGAGTCACCATGTGGTTGCTGGGAACTGAATCCAGGTCCTCTGGAAGAGAAGTCAGTGCTCTTAACTGCTGAGCCATCTCTCCAGATCAAAGAATTGGTTCTCTTCTATGTGGAACTCAAGGCTTGACCTCAGGCCAATGTGGTTGGTACCTTTACCCACTGAGCCATCTCCCCATCCCAACTGACCCACACTCTGTCTTTAGTTCTTCCCATGACTCCAGCCTCGTGAGCAGCTACAACTATAGGCATGTGCTACAGCATCCCCCACTCTTTTTTTTTTTTTTTTTTGGTTTTTCAAGACAGGGTTTCTCTGTAGCTTTGGAGCCTGTCCTGGAACTAGCTCTTGCAGACCAAACTGGCCTCAAACTCAGAGATCCACCTGCCTCTGCCTCCCGAGTGCTGGAACTAGAGGCGTGCACCAACACCTGCTGGGCTGGCATTCCCCAAGTTTAAGAAATTCTTTTTCAAGGGCTGACCATGATCAAGCACCCCATCTCCAAATCCAGGTATGGCCACCCTGAAATCAACCAGGTGAGAGCATAGGTAATGCAGTGGAAGCAGGCACAACCAAGTATCACTTCCTATACCAAGGACTGCTGCCCCAATAGACACCTGTCTCCCTTACATTAGCCATAGATGGAGGAGACACTAAAGTTTAGCTATTGGGGCCACTGATCTTTTTGTTTGTTTGTTCTCTTGAGACAGGGTTTCTCTGTAGCTTTGGAGCCTGTCCTGGAGCTAGCTCTTGTAGACCAGGCTGGCCTCTTATTCACATTGATCCACCTGCCTCTGCCTTCCGAGTACTGGGCTTAAAGGCGTGCACCACCACCGCCCAGCTACTTAATGACTCTCAAGTGGCTTAAAACCTTCTGTTCTTGTGTAGAGACAGAGAAGAAAGGATCAACACCTTTTCCTATATTATTTTTGTGTGTGTGTGGTGAGGCCTCAGGTTGACCTTGAACTCCGGATCCTCTGGTCCCCTCCTCCCAAGTGCTAGGATTAGCGGTGTGCAAATACACATCTGCTTTTTCCTAGCATGACTGAAGCCTGGAAAGCTTAAAGTTCTGGCCATGAAGTGCTGGAGCAGGACACAAGCTGCCATCAACAGCTCCAAGAGGCAACACCACCTGTCCCACTGTTTGAACAAGGGAAGTATCTGTCAACTACATAACACCCCATATCCCCATTTCTCAGTGCATACACCCTCCTCATTACCTGCCCCCCTAAATGACCCTAAGAGCCCTGGTTACTAAGGCAATCTGGGAACAGCACATGAAGACAGAGACTAGAAACAGATGGGGCTATTTTTAAACTAGACTAGGTGGCTCCATTTCTTTTATCCCACAAAGTGCCTTCCCCAGACCAAAGTCCCATTTGGATATTTTACATCTCTGCCCTTCATCGCTGGCATCCACCCAACTTACACAAGCTACATGAGGGCAGATCTTTACCTTAGTTTTGGCATTAAATCTACTTTATGCTCCCATCTTCCCCAACAGTCATCTAAGCAATTTTTACTTTCTTTGTTAAAAAATAATGTTCTTTTATTTCTTTGGAAAGTAGTGGGCACTGCCCTACAGATTTCCAGGCCAAGCTTGGTAAATGAATGTTCCCCTAGTCTTTGGGCTGGAGTATTATGGTCCCAGCCTTCCCAGGGACCCAGGAGCATTTCTGGGCCCCGAATCACCTGAAGGCTTGTGTGAGGCCTTCTCTCCTGCACACCCACTCTCCCGATCTTTCCTGGTTTTCCCTCTGAGTGGGGAATTTTTCTCTCCCATACCAGTGCTGGAACCTGTGCTGTTCGTGAGGACAAGACCAGGGACATCTCCAACCTCCTATGAGTGAACACAGTCCCTCAGTCCCTTCTTTCTGCTGGCTTCAGTCTCACCTCCTATGCAAGCCTCTGTATAGTAGAGGCCTGCAGGACAAGAGACCCTCAAGCACAGCCCTGCCTCAGGAGATGCTTCTACAAAGTACTTCCCTTGTAGTCTCTTGTCCTAGTTTTTGAGTGGCCCTTCAGACAGAAGGGCTGGGCACGTGGGGAAGGGCCATGACCCCAGCCCCAGATGCTGTGACAGGGAGCAGAGTGTCCATTAGTCCTGTCAGTGCGGCATGGCTGTGATGCGCATGCTCTGGGAAGCAATGGGGTAAGTCACCATCGGAGTAGTAGTGTGGCTCATTGTGATTCCTGCCAAGGGCTGCGCCATGGACACAGCCACAGGAGCCACAGGGGCCACAGACACAGCTACCGGGGCCATGGAAACAGGCGGGGGTGCCATCCCCTGGGCGATGGTTTGAGCCAAAGCGGCTGACAGTGGCGTGATCTCTGGGTTCAAGTGTGGAGGTGGGGGTGGTGGAGCAGCAGGAGGTGCAGCATTAGTTGGGGGAGCAGCTGGGGCTCCAGCAGGGGCCACAAGTTCTTGCTGGGACACAGGGCGAGGCTGCAGAGCCTGGCTGCTCAGCGTAGTGTGAGTCTGGGCGATGCCATGGTTAAAAGTGGCCACAGTGCCCACAGTGGGGGCCAGGGTCTGCTCAGTCGCTGGTGCAGTGGAGCTCAGGGTCATGACCTTGGCCTGATTTCGGAATTGGGCATTTTGTTCCAGAAGTACCTCATTGGTGGCCAGCAGGTTGCTGACCTGTTTCTTCAGCTCCTCCACTCGTTTCCTGAGCATGGCATTCTCCTCCTCTAGCAGTCTGCACTCTACTCCACGGGGCGGAGCCAAGTTATATTCATAGGACTCAAAATGGGGGCCATCAGGAGGGCAGCATCCACCTCTCCGGCGCTTAGGGCCTGGCTCGTGGTCCTCAAAGCCCCTTTCAGGAAGGTCGTAGATATCATAGAGATCATGGCGTCGTCCCGAGGGAATGGAGCCTGTTGAGCCCCCGCCTCCAGTACCCCCTCCACCTCGAGCATCAAATTCAAAATCCCTTTGCAGGTGACGGAACTTGCACTTGGTTCCTCTCTGACAGTCCCCTTTGAGGAAGTCGCGGCAGATAGGGACCTCCTCCTTCCCATTGGGCAGGTCAGCAGGGGAGAGACCCAGCCCAGCCGCCACTTTCTGCCTCAGCCGAGGAGGTAGCTCCCCTGTCTTCTTATAGCCGTCCTCATCCTCCTTGGAGCCGTGGATGAAGCGGCAGTTTGGGCGGCTGCACTCCTTGTTTTGGAAGTCATGGCAGAAAATAAATTCATTCTTGCTCACCCCCAAGTTGGACACCTCGCTCATGTCCGGGTGGCGGTACCGACAGCGCTTGCCCCGCTTGCACACATTCCTCAGGAAGTCTCTACAGATGGCATCTGAGGTGGCCCCCCCACTGCCTGCCCCTGCCCCGCTGGCCTCCTCACTGCCACCACCTCCAGGGACTCCACCGCTGTTCCCAGTGCCGTTGGCATAGTTGTCCCGGTCAGGCATCCTGGTCCCCCCCAACTCAGGGTTTTCTTCTTTCTCTTGCCACTCCTGGGGACTGTTAAGAAAGAGAACCGTGTTAAACAGGGGCCCTCCAGCAAGCTGCCACTCTCCCTGACTATACAGTGGGCAGTCCTCTGGGGCAGTGGCTCTGCAGAGGAGAATCTAAGGGAGAACTCTAGCTGGCCTGGCTGCCTTGCCAGAAGCCCCGCCCAGGCCCTTGTGCACCTGGTCTTGCTTGGAGTGATTCACACTTGCCTGGCTAACGGAGGAGGGAAGAGAGCTGAGTGAAACCACTCTTACAAATGATGATGAGCCAAGGAGGGGGCAGGGAGAGACTAGTGTTATATTTTACCTTCCCTTCTTATTGTGGGAGAGAAACGAAAACAGGCGTTGGTTTGTGAACAGACAGACTGGAGACAGCGCTCTAAGACAGGCTATTTCGCTTTAAGAATTTATGGATGAAGGGACACCAATAACAACACATCCCTGATCCCCTCTTCCATGGGACGTTAGCTGCTGTCTCCAAGTGTTTTAGACATCCTGGGTGACCCTTCAGGTGACTGGTGTCACCAGTTGGAGGGCAGTCCTTGAAGCTTGTTCATCTCCAGCCTGCTCACACACAGACCCCTCCACTTTAGGGAAAGAAGTTCTCAGTTCACATCTCTACCTGGAGGACCCCAGGACAAAACTATAGCAAGGTCAAGGTGGGAAGGAGTTAATTTCATAGGAATGGTGACCTTTCCCCATTCTCCACCCCGGCCTCCATGAAAAGATCCCACTATCAAACCACAGTACTCCCTACCCCATAAAAACCCTCTTTATTTATAGACTCTATAAAAGCTTTTTAAGTCTCCTGTTTCCCAGGAGAGCTCTGGAATGTCAGTCCACTGCCCTAATTCTAGCCCTCCCTTCTCTCTATCCCCCCCCCCCCAGAAGACTGGAGTCCCTGCTACCACGTGTCTGAAATCCTAAAGGTTTCCTAAGTAGTGTTCAGGCTCCCCCTGCTGACCAAATAGGAGTTCATACATTTTGCGTTGGGCATAAGGATACGTTTCTCGATTTCCCCATTCACACAATCTTTAGATTTCCCTAAAATGACTAATCAGACCAGAGGCCAGAGATACCCAAGAATCTGCACAACGGAAGAGTTGCCCCAGAATAAAGCAAAGTTCTAAGGAGAGACAAACCCTAACGACCAGGTGAAGAATAAATGTCCTCAAAGGCTGACCTGTGTTTCAGGTCCCACCAGCAGCAGATAACAGAAAAGGACGATACTTCTCCTCGCCCAATTATCCCAGAATTAATACCTGAGGTAGCTCAGGTGAAGTCCGGGGCTCCTGCGAGTCTCCACTCCCACATCACTGCTGGGTTCTGAACAAGAAAATAAACAAAAACAAAAGCAAAAAAAAAGAGAGATAGAGATTTGAGTGGAAGAGGGGAAAAGCGTGAAGGGCTATGGGGTGGTTTTCATAAACTGGAACGAATTTTGACAAAACCTTAAGAGCTTTGAGGCATTTCAGGATTGTCTTACAAGTTCAAACTGAACGTCACCTCTTAAGGGAAAAGGATAAAGGTTAGAGCCTACCAATAAAGTCTGCTGAAAAAAAAAAAAAAACAAAAAAACAAAACAGTTCTTGGTGAAGGATGAGGGGAGCTTTACCTCACGATGAGAAGGATATGGGGGTCAGAGTCCGGTCTAGGGTTGGAGTTCGGGACGCCGAACCTGAAGGCTGGACAAGGGCAACAACTGACAGTAGAGTGGGAAGGCGAGATTAGCCTCGGGGGCGGTGATTAAAACGGTCCCGAGCACCCTAGAGTTCCCGGGAAGTCTTCGGGCTCGGCAGGCCCCGTCAAGTGGCGCCAGCACACAGCGTGGACCAGGTGACTGGGACACTGAGGAAGCGCACAGTGAGCGGGGAGGGGGTGACATCAGGCTGAGGGGATGGGCAGGGCTGTGACGTCACGGAGCTGGCGTTTGCTCGTGAAGCGGGGTCAGTCAGAAAAGGGGTTCTGCTCTGGGTAGCCAGGACTAGCCAGCTCGGTTCGTGGGGAGGGGGGCTCGTATGGCCCGGCAGAGCCCGGCCGCTGGGCCGGCCCCGACTCCTCCCCTCCGGGCGCGGCCTCCACCTAAGTCTCCCGCCTCCCTCACCTGCCGCCGCCGCCGTAGTTGCTGCTGCCGCCTGCCGGTCCTCTAGCTTCGACAAAGAGCCGCCCACCCTACGGTTCTTCCGCTTCCTGCGGAAGCAGTGACGCTCTAGCCACCAGACCCGGAACCACACTCTATGGTCTCCTTTGCGCGCTACAAGCCGCAGGAAGCTCCCAGCAAGCCTTGCGCGTCACCATGGCAACACGGCCCAGCCGGAAGACGAGCTGCTGTGCCTGCCGGCAAAACGCAGGACAGGAATGGCGAACGCTCGAGCTTCATTGCGCACACGCTAGAGCCAACTTCTGGTTCCAGCCGGATCACAAAACACCCAGACTGTCGCCTATGCAGGCTCTGGACACTCCACAGTACAGACCAAGCTATACTGAAAATTTCCCACCCAATGGAGCCGCAAAAGACACGTAACAGCAATTGCATCCTTCAGCTGACAGCGACAAAGATGGTTTATTGTACACAAGTTACAATTGGCCACAAGTGAGGACAGAACTAGTCCAGAACGCCATAGGTCCAGGGCAAAGGGCCAGCGGGGTTGTTGTCATGGCGGCAGGCGGTCTCTCGGTGGTCTCTGCGCGCAGGTGGCGAGGTCTCGGGTCCAGAGACTTCTTCCGACTGCAGCTCAGTCCAACTTGTCCCAGCGTCCCGGCCTCCAGCGTCCCTTACTTCTGCTCCTTCGGCCTTCGTGGGTGGACAGGCGGGTTTACTTGGACCTCTGCCTCATCTTTCTTCTCTTGCGCTTCAGCCTGTGATGCAAAATACACCAAACAGCTGAGATTTTTTTTCCTTTCAGCCGTAAACCAGTCTGAACTGTATACAAAGGCTGACAAAGCACACGAGCAATCGTTCTTATTGTGCGCAGAAGCGCCTGGATCCCTCACGCCGACACTGACACTTTCACTTTAAACTTGTAGTTTTAACGAAATCCCAAAGCTTAGCCCCACCGCCCTTCTCAGTAGTCAATCAACATACCTACGCATTCTCTTCTTCCTCCACTAGAAACGCGATCACGTGAGGGGGGAATAAAAAGGACGTTAGCAATAGTACTCAGAAAAATAGGTTGACAAAGAATTAAAGAATTGGTAGCAATATCGGTTGCACTTAAACAGCAGATCAACTTAAGATCCGAACCCCGTGGTTTCCCAGCCCACTTTCCTCGGCCAAGGGCTAAGGAGGCTCTAGTCGGCCTCTTCAACCGTCTCCTGAGCACCTTTGAAAGCCCAGAGAGGGACCATGGCGGAGACTCACTGCCTGGGTCCGCCTGCCCCCAAGCTCAACACTTTAGGAACGCTCACCTTCGCTCTCATGGCGCAGGGGTGTCTACGGCAAAAGAGAAAAAAAAGTTACAGTTAATTTGCTGCGACGATGGTAAGTGCAGAAGCCAGATGTTAACGGATTGTACTCGAAGCCCGAAGACCGGCTACAACAAGACTCACCAAGGAAGATGGCGCTAAGGCCGAGAGAGCGGCGAAGTCGGTCTAGTGCTTTTTAATGGCGTGCTCAGTGTCGTCACTTCCGGTGACACGCCTTCTGATCCCCTAGGGGCGGTGCTGCTCAATCGTGTAACAGCGACTTCCGGCTGCCTTACTGAGGGAAACAAATATTTTGACTGCGAGTTATCAAGCCCCACCTTCTCTAAGATTTATTTTAAGGGCATTGTATTATTTCAGCATGAGCATCTGCCTCGAGTATGGGACAGAAAAAATTAGATGGAGAAAAAGTAACTTCCGTCTTCTCCCGCGTTGCTTCTTGGAAGTTGCAGTTTCTTGGTAAATACCTCCATTTTATTATGAATAGGTGTGGCTTGTAAAAAGAATTACTGGCTTGACCAGGGCGGTGGTGGCACACACCTTTAATCCCAGCTCTTGGGAGGTAGACGCAGGCGGATTTCAGTGAGTTCGCGGCCAAACTGATTTACAGTTTCAGGACAGCCAGAACTCTTACACAGAGAAACCCCGTCTCGGAAAACAAAACAAAGAATTACTGGTTTCGGCCTGGCTTGTTGGTGTGCACCTTTATTACCAACTCTTGGGACCCTTGGGAGGCAGAGGCAGGCAGATTTCTGTGTGTTAAAGACAAGCCTGGTCTACATAATGAGGCCTTGCCTAAAGTAAATGTATAAGTAAATAATTCCTAGTTTCGTTTTGGTTTGACTCCCACAGATCCTCTCCCCCTCCCCTAGTTAAACTACTTCGGAAATAGTTGATCGCTGAGATTCTAAAGATTTAAGATTTTAGAAACAGCTGAGCAGAGGTAGCACAAACCTTTAATCCCAGCACTCTGGAGGCTGAGAAAGGCGGATCTCTGAGTTAAAGGCCAGCCTGGTTCTACTAGAGTGAGTTCCAGGACGTCCAGAACTGTTACACAGAGAAATTCTATCTGGAAAACCAAAACAAACAACTTAGAAATGGGAGAATGGAACCTGGCAAGCTGAGAAAGCTGTCACCCTGCAGGCACAGCCACGGTGCTGCACTTGTAAGCCACTATCCCTCGAAATTTTTCTTTTTTTTACTTTGTGTCTCTGTTTGTATATGCAGGGCCATGCAGTTGCCAGCCAAGGGCAGAAGGGGCATTTGGATCCCCAGAAGCAGTCTTCACAAGCTGCTGGGAGTTGCTGGGAATGAACTCAAGTCCTCGGGACAACACCTGTCACTTATTACTGCTTTGAGAGGGTCTCATGGGCTTCGAACTCTTGGCTTTTCATGACAGGGTTTCTCTGTGGAGCCCTGGCTGTTCCAGAATTCGCTCTGTAGACCAGGCTGACCTCAAATTTAGAGATCCACCTTTCTCAGCCTCCAGAGTGCTGGGATTAAAGGCATGAGCCACCACTGCCTGGCTACCAGGATATGGTGGCACACAACTTAATTACAGGAGATAAAGACAAGGATATGAGTTTTAAGCCAGCCTACTCTGCCCAGTGAGTTCCAGGTTCACAGAAGGGAGGCAGAGGCAGGCAGCTCTCCATGAGTTCAAGGCCAGCCTGGTCTACAAAGTGAGTTTCAGACAACCAGGGCTACACTGAGAAACGCTGTCTCAAAAAAACAAAACCAAAAACCAAAAACCAAAAAAACCTAACTATGGAAGAGTGATTTAAAAAGAAGAGGAGAAAAGGCTGGGTATGGTGGGTTGTGTCTTGAGTTCCAAAGGAAAAGCAGGCACACGTCTGTCTGTAATCTTAGCACTTTGAAGCAGGATCATAAACTATGGTAGCTTGTGATACATAAGGAGTTCAAGACCCGTCTACATTAAAAAAAAAAAAAAACCTTAAACTTAGGTATAGAAACTTCATCTTGTTAAAACAATTTAGATTTTTATTTTGAGACAGGGTCTCACTATGTAGTCTTGGCCAGCCAGGATACATACATGAGAATAGCCCAGAGAATGGGATTAAATCTCAAGAACTGGGATTAAATGTGTGCCAAACATCTCTGGCTCAATATTTAAGAGACTCATTTGTGTGCTGATAATCCTTCCTTTTCAGTGGCTTCCTTAACACTTCCTCGTTGTAGCCAGGCATGGTGGGATATAAACCGGCACAGGCATGGTGGGATATAAACCGGCACTTGGTGGATCTGAGAGTTTGAGGCCACCTGGTCTCCATAGTGAGTTCCAGAAAGAATGAGAAAGGTCTCATACAGAGACCCAAACGAAACAAGTCAGGAGCAAACTGCTGGGGTTGAAGTATTAACCGAGCCATTTTTATTCCCACAATTTTCCTTTTTCAGACACCATTTGACAGATAGGCCAGGCCTTCACTGTCCCGGAGTCAAGAGATCCACCTGCCTTTACCTCCAGTAAAGTGTGCTGGATTAGTGGTAGGCACCACAACCCAGTTTAGCCCTTCAAATTTTGAGTTGGAATCTTGTTAAATTAATTAAACACAATGAACTGAGGTACAACTGCAGCTTGAGTTAAAGTTTTAAAAATCCAAATAAAAACCTAATAGAATGATTTTACAGCCTGAGCTGGTGTCTCAAAATAAGAAAAGAGCATTTTACAAATCTGAATTACCAGTTTATATGAACTTGGAGGGAACCCGGCTCAATGTTTGGTGGTTTTAGGTTTGCAGAAAAATTAAGGAAGACCTCTCCACACTATTCTCAGTTCCCATATGGTCTCTCAGTAAGCATGCCCATCAACAGCCAATAGGGTGAGAAAAACATAACTCGGGAAGAGCCCAGGAAAAGCAAAGCTAGCCTACTCTGTATGTAACGGTGTGTGTATCCATCCTGCAGCTTTTGCTCACCCAAGTATTCACAGTTCAGCAGTGCTTCACATATAGTAACCTTACTCAAGACTATCACAGCTTGGCACTGAAAACTTGTCTAAGATATTTTGGGTGACCAGGGATGTAGCTGGTAGAGTGCTCGCCTAGCATGCATGAAGACCCCCAGCACTGTAAAAATGAGGTATAGTTGACATATGCCTGTAATCTCAGCACTAAGGAACTAAGGCAAACTTGCCACGTTGCCTTTGTTAGTACACTTTAAGTGCCCCAGTTCTAATATAACAATTCTTGCATACTTTTAATTACCAGAATTCCACATTAAGTAGTTGAGATTCCAAAACCAGGTATGGCTATACACACCTTTAATCCCAGCACTCCACCTTTAATCCCAGCACTCCGAAGGCAGAGGCAGATGGATCTGTGAGCTCAAGGTCAGCCTGGTCTACAGAGTTAAGTCCCAGGACTGGCTCCTAAGCTACTGGGAAACCGTCTCAAACAAACAAAAAGGAGCTCAGCTGGACAGCGGTGCCAGGAAATAGAAGTAGGGAGGTCTGAGTTCAAGTCAGCCTGGTCTGCAGTTTGCCAGGAACAGCCAGGGCTACAGAGAAACTGACAGAGAAATTGCCCCAACCCCACCACCGCCACAAAGACAAAAAAGAACAAATGCATAGTATTATGAGCAGATCCAAATTTATTTTTAATACCATGTCATTTCAAAAACCTCTTAAGTTAGTGGGAGCCTTGGTTCCCTGGGACAGCATGCCAGAGGTACAAACTGTAACCTTTCTCTTAACCACCAGAGTCATCCAAGTCCACAGCTTCTCAAAGTCAGTTCTCTTCAGTCTACTCCTCTGGTTCCTGGCTTTTCTTTCATGGGAGGGAACTCAAAATATTTCAGATGGGAAGCTGGGCGTGGTGGCGCACGCCTTTGGTTCCAGCACTCATGAAGCAGAGGCAGGCGGATCTCTTTGAGTTTGAGGCCAGCCTGGTCTACATAGTGAGTTCCAGGACAGCCAGAGCTACATGGTGAGAACCTGTCTCAAACCAAAAAGACAAAAGAAAAAAAAAATAAAAAGACCAAATAGACAACAACAAAAAACCCAGTGGGATTTTCAATGTAGGTTCAACGATGGAGCATGAGGAAAAACCCACTGGTTCCAGAGAGGGGGGCAAAACCAGCAACAACAAAAAACATGGTTGGGGATGATTACTGCTGCTCAATTGCGAAGATGGATGGATGCAGGACTCTGCAGAACAAAATGTCTACAAAAGTTTACAAACAAGAATCCATTTGGTAGATGTTAAGAATCTTCTTAATGGAGAGACATCAGCATCTACCATCGGAAGGGCCTAACCAGATACCCTACATCACGAGGCATCTGCCACAGGTGAATAAAAAATACAGCTGGTCCTCCTCCTTGAAGGCAGATTAAGTTCTCGGTGACAGTGGGAAACAGAAAAGCCCCCAAAAGAACAAGAAAATGACATTGGTGACATAAAAATTTCGGCAGAGGTTCTAGTGGTGGTGGCAATTTAGCCTCCTTTGTTCTGTTGTAGGGTCTCAAACCTTGACCAAGCAGAGTAGAAAAGGCCAGAAAGAGGGGCTTGAAAACGGTGCATTTTGACTCCTGATTTTATTATTAATTTCTTTTTCTACTGAAAGTAGTCTTCAGTGGCTGGGAAGCCTGGCCTCCCAAGACCAGAGTCAGTTGGAGCTGGTTCTTTGTTGGAAAGAGTGGGTGGGTGAATGGGCGGGGACTAGGATGAGGGCAGAAGACCCTGCTCTGCTGGCGGTCCTGGGTGGCGAAGACGAACTGCACTTCAGAGCCTGGGGTGCGGTGGGAAGGGGGTGAGGCAGGAATGACAAGCTGGGGATATGGGACCCACCTCAGTCCCCAGCTTCATTCTCTTCTAATGTCTCTCCACTGGTTGCATTCTCTGCAGTCTTGGAGGCCTATATTCCAAAACAAAAAGACATCAATTCCTAACTCCTTTGGCACCAACTCCAAGCAGAGAAGGTGAGCCCCACCCCATGATTATCAGAGGACTTCCCACCAGAAGATCACACACACCTTCTTTTTCTTCTTTTTCTGCGTTTTTCGACTTGCAGAACTCTGGAGGAGAGCCTGGAAGACAGGAGGAAGACAGCTCTGAAAAATGCAGGCTAAGCGACTTCACAGGGAAGTGCCCTGTGGGTCGGTGCCCCACGGTCACCACTTTCCACCCCACACTGACCTTTAGCTCTGCATCCTGGACTTCCATCTCTGACTTGTAGAGGTCAGGCTCAAAGGGACCACTGGTTATCCGCATGGGGCCATTGGGCATGAGTAGGACTGTAAATTTAAACTGGGCAACATATTCACCTGGGGGGAAACAGCAAGTTCCAGTCCCACTTAGCTTTCTGAAGTTAAGGGAGGGAAGCACGTTAACTGGGGCTCTAAAGTGAAGCCCTCCTCAGGACTCACCCTCCTTCTCATAGAGAACATTAAATGGCTGCAGTAATTCATGTTTGGCACATTCTACCACACCCATCCGAGCCTTCTTCTCATCTTCAAATGCTCTGGGAAGAGAGACAGCACTCAGGTCTCCTTAACAACCAACCAGGTCATTACCACTTATTTTCATTAGTGTGATCGCAGGCATGATGGGGGTTGGGGGCAGGGCATGGGTGTGCAGACCAGAGGACTTTCTGAAGTTAGTTCACCCTCTACTGTTACATGGGTTTCAGGGGTTGAACTCAGGCTGGCAGTCTTGCAAGCTCCTGACCTGCAACTGTACAGGCAGCTGGCCCTATTTTTTGAGAGATTCTTATTTAATGTAAGTCAGGCTAACTTAGAACTCTACTTCCTGCCTCAGCCTTCAGAGTGCTGGCATCACAAACATTGCCACCACACTCAGGTATGCATATTTTTAAATAATTTCTATCTTTGTAAAGAAATTATGTTTGGGGTTGCTCTTCTATATTATATTCAACCAGGAGATGAGCAGGACAGAGGACGTGCATTCAGGCAGGAGCTACAAGTCTGGGCAGGAGAGAGAGGGAGGGGTCAAGGAAAGGGAGGATGTTTCTGAGTGTACAAACTGAGTCAGACTGGTTCCCAGTCCTGTTCTTGCAGTACCTTAAAGTAAATGGCATGGCATCAAAACGCCTCTCCACCTCGCTGAAAAAGGCACGTGAAGTCTTCATCTTCAGGCCGTACTGTTTAGAAGGGTCTCGTTTGTAAATGGTGGTTCTCTGTCCTGCATCTTTAGCCTAAAAGAGTTAAGCCAGGTCAAATGTGGTCTGGTGAACATGCCTTCAAGTTACCCCTTTTGTTAATTATGGAATTCCTACCTTGCCTTCTCCTGAGCTGACAAGGACATCCACAGCATAAACTTCATGTACCTCAAATTCAGCCTTTTCATGGTCCTTCCTAAAAGAGAGAACGTAAGCCAGACACAAGGGTGCAAGCCTGTGATCTCAGCATCAGGACATCAGTCAGAGGGGAGCAGTGCAAGTTCTAGGTCAGTCAGGACTACACAGTGACAACTCCCCACAGAAAGATGGCTCAGTAATTAAGAGGAGGCATTGCTCCAAGCCAGGCGGTGGTGGTGCACGCCTTTAATTCTAGCCCTTGGGACATAGAGGCAGGCAGATCTTTTTGAGTTCAAGGCCAGCCTGGTCTACAAGAGCTAGTTCCAGGACAGGCTCCAAAGCTACAGAGAAACCCTGTCTCGAAAAAACAAAGAGTATGCATTGCTTCTTAAAGGAACTGAGTTCGGTTCTCAGCGCCCAAACCAGATAGGCTTACCAATGCCTCTAACTCCAGCTCCAAGGGGACAGATGCCTCTGGCTTCTATGGGTATCTGCACTCACATGTTCAGACACACTTAAAAGGCAAAGAATGGGGCTGGCACCTACTTCTGCTGGTCTGTAGGATTCTGGATAATGGTTTTCTCTCCATCGATCACATGCTGCTTCAACTGATGTGACAACATACCTGTAGACAGGATAAAGCCTATGATACCAGCTATACAGCACCCTAACAGCTTCCAAATCCACTCCTGTAAGCAGTTTGATGGTGCGATTAAGCCTGACTATGGAAACAGGGCACAGACAGGTATCTATCTGCATAAGACAAAGCTAGATTCTAATTCTACCACACCTCTCGCTGTTAGACCTTTAACCCCATTATCTGAGGTCTCACCTTCTATTGGCGTGCAATTAAATGAGTGAGCAACTTTGTTCCAGGCTTCTGTCACTTGTGTGTTCTAGAAGTACAAGAGCAAATAAAGTGTGATATATCTGATCTTTCCAACTTATTCCAACACCCCCTTGCCAAATGTCAGTGATTCTCATTCACAATCTTAATCCTATAAACTAAAACACAGATTTTAAAAATGAGCCACGCTATGGTTGGAGGCCAGCTTGGTGAGTTGTAGGTCAGCCAGGGCTGTAGAGAAACTCTGTCCCCAAACAAAAAAATTGCTTTCATAAAAGTGACAATAGTTCTTAAAGACCAGAGCAGATCTACACCCCAGTGCAGAAGATGAGGAAACAGGCTCAAAATAGTGGAGAAGCCTTGCCAACCGTGCTTTCCAATGTCAAGCCTAGGGTTTATCCCAGCATTCTACCCGATGGAGACGAGAAGCAAAGCAACAAAATATTTAATTTTTCAAAAACTTCTGTGCTAGCCTGTGGTGGCACAGGTAAGCCTTCAATCCCAGCAGGGTCTCTGTTGAGTTCAAGGTCAGCCTAGAACAGAGTGAGTTCTAGGACAACCAAAGATACACAGAGAACCTTGTCTTGGAAAATCAAAAATAAAGCAACAAAAGAAAACATACATTACTAAATAATTTAACATCTAGGATTCGGTTCTCACTTTCCGTCAGGTAGGTCCTAGGATCAACAGGTTGGCAGGTTTAGCGGCGAGGGTCCTTTCTGATCCTAACACTCATGTTTACCGAAAACACTAATTCAGTCCCTGACCCAAGAGCCCCAGGTCAATCTCACTTTTTCCTATTTTACAGGTGACAGAATTTGAGCTCAAGACTACTACTGGCCAGCTGTGGCACACACCTATGATCTCAGGGGAGGAAGATGGAGCCAGCGACACCAGGAGGGGGAAGGTGGCTTTTAGAAAGCTAAGTGCACAGATCGCAGGATTCCACAGTTACAGACTAGCGACTGTGCAGATAAGCAAGTGTATAAAGTAAGTGACGACTGCTTTAAGAACTTGCTGCAGGCAGGCACTGCTCAAAGGGCTTGGGAACACTCGGAAATCAGTGTGCCACACGGGACAAAGGCAGGATTTTAAACAGAAAGTATGCAAGTAATCACGAGGACGACACACCAGCTGAGTACAGCGTGAGCAACGAGAGCAAAGAAATGGAAAACAAACTTCTGAGGGCTTCTCTGAAAGTTAAGCTTCAGAGAGAATGTCCACTGAGAATCTAAGATGCTTGCTGTTCACTCACAAGAACTACCTACCCGCTCCAGGTTTCCTGATACTTTTTTTCAAACAGAAGAATTAATCAGACATGAATTTGCCTATACTTTTCCTACCCGTTTCATGCAGTTTTTAAAAACTTATTCCATTGTTAGTTACCCACCTCAAATTATTCTGGGGTCAAAGTGCACGTACAGAATCTAAAATGGCCTTTATAGGCTCTGCCGTAAGCAGTTAGACCCCCATCCCTAGCATGGACTGTGGTAGATACTGAGAGTTAAATGCTGCTTATAGGTGCCTGATTCCTCTTTGCTTCTGCCAAGCTACAGAAGTGTAGGAAGCACCTTACCTGGTTTCCAGGTTTGACCAGTCGTAAGGCAGCTTCCGCACAAAGATGAGCTGCCTTAATGACGTCTGCTTTCCGCCCTGTGACCTGGGTCCCCTGTGAAGAAACAGAACCACTGTCATTCTGGACAGTCAATTATACAAGAGAGCCAGAAAGGCCTTCCATTCGTTTCTCTAGATACTCTAGAGTCATGCGGTACTAGAGTGGAGATGAAAACCCAAATGGCAGCATGCCCCTCCCCAAGACGACAAAGCTGAAAAGCATGCTACCTACCTGAGCTACACCAATCACAAAAGTGTGAGCCACGTTAGCAATGAAGCCATCCACATGGACTCCAAGGTCACTGAAAGGCAAGAACAGAGCAGAGCACTGCATTAGGAAACAACACCGTGAACATGTCGGAAACGACAAATTCTCTAGAATGGTTTAACCTTACATTTTTACCAAGTCACCTTCCTTGAGTATATAGTCCTGATCACTCTTCAGAGGGGAGAAGTGACACACACAGTTATTTACCGAAATGCTGGTAGGAAAGGCAATACCTGTAAAAAGAACCATCAACCTTACTGCCTTGCTCTGTCTTGGGAACACTTGTTGCCCACAAAACTGAAGGGGTTTTTATTCTAGGGACCTTGTTTCCTCAGATTGGGAAGAAACTATACCCATCCCACTGCTACTCCAGACTTCCAGGGATGGACAGAAATTTCAGTGAGAGACGGGGCTGGATGTGGGTCAAACGGGGAAGCTAAGAGGGGTTCTTTCCCTTTACCTTTCTTCATTTCCTTCTCTTTCTTGAAGATTTTCCCTGTCTCTTCCATGATCATGGCATCTCCTTTCTCACACAGGCTCAGTACTGACACACCTGAGCTGGCAGCGTCCACCAAAGACCGAAGTACCCCTGGGAACAGAACCCCACCAGGTCAGTCCTGCATGCACTCAAAATCTAATTAGACCTAAAGTGGAATTCATTTTTCTAATACTCCCTAGTGCCAATGTTGAAAAGAGGAGAGGAAACAAATTTTGTGTACAATCTATCCTCCTTTAATGCCTACCTTTTTTGTTTGCTTGTTTTGCTTTTTTGAGACACCTCTGGCTGTCCTAGAACTCACTACATATACCAGGTTAGCCTGGAACTCAGAAACGAGCTTGCCTTTGTCTCCCCCAAACAAGTGCTGGCACAAACAACAACAACAACAAAAAACCCAAAAAAAAACCCAGAAAAAAAAACCAAAAAAACACCACCAACCTTACTTTCTACCTTTCCTTCCTAAAAATAAAGGTTAGCGTTTACAGTTCTTTCAATTATCTGATACCAGGGCAGATGAAGGCCTCGCACCTTCCAAAGATGTTATAGTATTCAGAATCATGGACGTTAGGGAACTGTGCCCAGATACCCCAGATGCACAGGCAAAGCCCAAGAAATTTATAGGCGTCGGGGACATCGGGAAGGTACACATAGAACTGCTGAGTCAAAGCTAAAGCAGTTTTAAATGTTGCCTTCTTCCCTCCCCTAGACACACCAATTAGGTGTTAGCAATCACAATTTATGTAGATGCATTTCCCCATATACAAGTATATAAACCCAGGGGAATTAATCTAAGGTCTCAAAGGTTCAGGGGACTCAAGGTTTACTTTCAGTAGACAGCTTCAAAACTATTATATGAAGTCTATATAATGGTCTAAAGCTGTAAATTGTATGGACCGAAACTGTCCGATTTAAACCAATAATACCAACTACTAAACCATCACCCCAAATAGGGCTATTATTTTGTATATGTCCTCTTTATGATCCACGGGAATTCTAGCTTTGATTTCTTTCGTCTTATTTCGTTATCTTTGGAATTCAGAAAAAACTCGGGTTTAAACCAAAGGCATCCTAAACACCTTCTATTTTGTAAAGACCATTTTAATGTCCTATGAAGTCCTAAGTGGCTTTTAAAAATGGAAAGGAGCCGGGAGTGGTGGCACACGCCTTTAATCCCAGTACTAGGGAAGCAGAGATACCGGGATCTCTGAGGCCAGCCTGGTCTACAGGAGAACCTGGGTAGCCAAGGCTACACAGAAACCGGCGGGGGGGGGGGCGGGGGCGCGGGGACCAGACACGAACTGGAAAGAGAAAACAAAGTTATCTGCCCAAGTGGCAGACAACTGTTGAGAAAGAGCAAGCAAGGCTCCAGTAAGAATTGCTTATGATAGCCCTAAAATCAGCCCCTCTCCGCTCCGCTCCAGCATTATTGACAGGCTCGCTTAGCCGTGGTCTGAGCAGGACCTCCGAACACTGTCAAGCCTCTAAGAACGAATATTAAAGGCCATCTCACAGACTGGGGCAGCAGGCATTAACCTCTTCCAGAAAACCAGGTATCTTTCAGAGTTGTTAGAAGCTCCAGACGAGCCCTCCAACGGTCCCTCGAGCTAGGCTAGGGGAGCAGGGGGCCCCCACCAGGAAGACCTGAAGTAAAGACTAAGCAAAGCACGTGGTGGGGAAGCACGGTAGTAGAGGAAGTGGGGAGCCAGCGGTCCGCACAGGGACCGGGCAACACGTGCCGGTCTGGCGCCTACGGGTCAAGACCCGCGCCTGCCAGAGGGGCGCTTCTGTCGCCAACAGCTGGGAGCTTCCTTTTCGAGGTGGCCTCACTGCTGCCAGTCAGAGCAAGCAGAGATCCGGACAGACCGAAGGGTGATGGGCAGAAGACGACGCGTCTTGCCTCCTTACCAACCGCCTAGGGTCGGAGCAGGTCTGGGCCCCTCTGCGCTCCTCGCGGTCGCCGGCCCGCACCTCCACTCTCCAGCCCAGGCATGGCTGCTCAGTCCCCGAGGCGACACCAGATCTCCCCACCACGTCGCCCCCGGCCGTCGGCACGCGCCCCTCGGTGGCTCACTCCGCAAGACCCAGCCGCTCCAGCCCCTCCGGAGACAGCCCCAAACCTCTCCCTCTCAGCCTCGATTCCAAGACCCCCGAGGCCGCACTCACGGTTGGCGATGTCGCCCCCCATCTTATACTTGGTCACGACCAGGTCCTCGGCGATAGTTTGCTCCTGCTGCTCGTCTTCGCCCGACATCTTCCTACCACCACTACTGCAGCTTCACTTTCCCTGAGCTGCGGCCTCCGTCTCCCTTCCCAGCCACAAGCTGTAGCTAGAGTCTCTTCGATCCGCGAGGAAAGCGCGAGCAAGCAAGGGAGCGGGAGGGCGGGCGGAGAGAGCGAGAAGCTGCGAGCGCGCGGGCTGAGGCGCAGGGCACCCTGGGAGAATGAGTCCGGCCGGTGCCCAGCCTCCAGCCGCCCTCGTGGCCTCTAGAACTACAATTCCCAATCTGCTCCTCGCGCTCCTCCGCCAAGCCCTGGGGCCTTGCCCTCCCAAGTCTGCGCACGCCGGAATCGCCGGGCACGCTGGGAAGGGTCTGGCTCCGGCGGGAAGGCGGAGCCGTTGGGGATCCTGAGGGAAAGCGTGGTCTCTCCGGGAAAAACTCATTCACCGGAGCTGGGAGCCAGAACTCGTAACAGAGGGGGGCGGGCTAAGCGAGGCGGGGCGGAGCTACGCGGAGAAAAAGGTTCAGAGGCCGTTGGGCAGGGCGGAGCCGGGTGGAGCAGGGTGGAGCCAGGGTACCTGGGTCGCTGTGAGTACACCTAGGGCGGTTATTCTGTGCGCGTAGCCTTGGAATCCCGGGTCGGCTAGCGTGACCGGCCTGGCCAGTCCAGTCCTCCTCCTCCTCCTCTGCTGGCAGAATGGGAAGGGGCAGAGCGGAGGTGGAAGATTTAGGGTGAGCGAGCACTAACTGGACAGTTTGAGAGATTATTCATTTACCATGACTTGCTAACATAATAAGACCACACTTCCCACTGTACTAGAGTAAAAGGGCATTTTTGTCGCAACGGTACGTTCTGATGGGGGCCTCTAAAGGAAATGTTTAGGAGGTATTTGGTCACTCTCAAGAGAATGCGTTCCGAATCATTTTAGGCTTTCAATATTCCACCTGTGAAGGAAAATCCACAAAAACAAAAATGCTCACGGTTTTGGGCTTTTTCCATTTTCCCAAGCAATCGCTTTGACTTTATTGTTTACACTTGCTACTCTGTAGCAATTCTCAGTAAAATGGGTTGATAAAAAGGATTAGAAACAGGATCTAGAGAAATGGCTCCGCGGTTATAACCTGATATTCCTGCCGAGGAAGGGAGTTCCCAGCACCCACGCCAAGTTCACAAACCACCTGTAACCTGAGCATTCTTTGGGGCTCTTGGGGCACTCAAACCTCACACTCCCTCACGTACACGTAATTAAGAGTAAAATCTTAAAAGCATTTAAATAAAAGTTTAGATGAGAAGGAAAAAGAATGTCAGAAGAGAAAGCTACTAACTGTTGCTAAGAATCTGATAAGAATGGTCTCATGCACTTTTTAGTTGACAATAAAAAAAAAACCACTTTGGCAACTTTTTATTCAGACACGTATAAAAACAAAACAAAAAACTTTTAATGGTACAGGAAGACGTTTTTCCCCAGTTCCCATCCAGGAAGACTGAAGTCTGAAGATGGATCCACTTTCTATCCCACCAGAAGTTTCTCATTACTGGTTAAATGAGTCTTAGAACCTTTGTTAATTGTCTTGTAAGGAGTGTATATCATCTACAACATATGTGGGCTGTGGCTTGCACAAAAAAATAGCCAGTTAGTTGTCCTTCTGTGTTGTCTTCACTTCTTCCTGAGATGAGAAGCCTGGGTGCTGGAGGAAAATGTAGCCGTTGGCATTTGCTTGATTCAGTGCATAAACAAGAAAAGGAGTCTGGTTCACAGGTATAGTCACAGCCTTTGGAAGGCTGAGACAGGATTGCGGGAGCTGAGTTCAAGGCCGTCCTGGGCTACATAGTTCCAGGTCAGTGTAGAGTGAGATCCTGTTTCTCTCTCTCTTTCTCTCTCTCTCTCTCTCTCTCTCTCTCTCTCTCTCACACACACACACACACACACACATACACACCCCTTACAAGGATTTGACATAGGTACTCCTTGACACCTTATAATAAAAGTACAGGTATTGGAATTGGGAAGATTTTGAATCCTGGACCTGCTGCTTAATTTCTTCAAGGCTCAGTCCCCCACTATCTGAGGTTTTGCTGTCTACAGTTTTAGTAGCCTGTGATCAACTACAATCTGAAAATGTCGAATGACAAATTCCTGAAATAAATAGTCCCTAAAGTTTAGATTGCACACAATTCTGAGTAGCATAATGAAATTACAGCCATCCTTTTCTGTCCAATCTGGTAATAGCCCATTAGTCACTTAATAACCCACATGTTATCAGACTGACTGGCAGTGATATCATAGTACTTGTGTTAAAATATCCTTATTTTACCTACAAACGGGTTCAGAATGCAAGAGTAGTGGTGTTGGCATTCAGACATACCAAAGAGAAGTGGTTTTTGTTTGAGAAAAGGTAAAAGTTCTTGACTTCATATGGGGGAAGAATCCTATGGTATTATCTAAAATAATAAATCCATGAAATTATGAAAATAGACAAATTAGTACCACTTTTGCTGTGGCACCTCAAACTAAAAACATTACGGCCATAATGCATGATGACTCCTTAGGTGAGATGGAAAAGGTGCTAAACTATAGCATTCAGTTTTGTACAACTAAAACATTGTTTAAAAAAACTATAGGCCAGGCAGTGGTGGTGCATGCCTTTAACCTCAGCACTCAGGAGGCAGAGGTAGGTGGATCTCTGAGCCAAGTTCGAGGCCAGCCTGGTCTACAGATTTGAGTTCCAGGACAGCAAGGACAACAGAGAACTGTCTCGGAAAACCAAACCAAACCAAACTACAGGATTCAGTACTATCTACAGACTGAGGAAGCTGCTGGCTGTCGTGGAACACTCGGGGGCTCCTGTATTGGTAATGGGATCAACTCTACCTCAGAAATCTGTAGAGATAGATGTGGCTGAGCTCATGCAGGCAGAGGTCACCTTGATGGTGCCCGGCTCACGGTGAGTGCTCATTCATAGTTACTGCTATCTACTCCTTAACGTTAGTCCGTAAAGTTTCAAGTTTCTCAATCTTTCCATGGGATTTGGTCTCATGAGCCAAAAACTTCCTTTCCTCTTCCAGCTCTGTGTCATCTCTTCCTTAGGACAGTCTGATGAGAAACAAGGCAGTCTAACCCTAACAAGTAGGAGCCGGAGAGAAAGGGCTTAGAGACTAACCCTTCATATCTCCAGGGAGTCTCCCTGAGGAAGATGAGGAACGGGATTGGGAAAGTAGACAAACAGGAAAACCTTCTCTTCTCCTGGGGCTGGGGAAGAGGAGAAAGTGCACAGCTGGCTACGTACCACAAAAATTGCGTAAGGATATGTGTACAAGTCTCCGAAGACTGGACGGCATTGTCTAAGACTGGGGAAGTGGGGGTGGGACCTGAGGGAGGGGTACCCTCAAGAGGCACTAGCTGCCATCAAATGCTCCCTGAGAGTCTCAAGGAGCAGAGGTTAAGTTCTCTGGGCATTAGCCTTGGGGAAAAGCCTGCTATGCCAGTAGTCAGGGTTGTCAAAGGCAGAGTCAGTGGCTTCTAAACTGCGCAGAGTTTTGAGGCGGGCATAACGAACATGGGGGGCATGCTGTCCAGGCCCCTGGAAAGCTCGCATTTCTTCATACCCTTGTTCCACTGCCGGGCAGGCCCCCATGGCGGCGTAATCCCCGCCGGCACCACCTACACCTCGCCTGCGGTTCATATATTCATAGTCCTCATCTGGAGTTGTACCAGCAGAGGGTACGATGGCCATAGGATGGAGTGGGCAACTCTGCGTACTGCCCAGAGAGGCACTGAGCTCTGAGCCGACGTCCATGTACTCATAACC